TTCACCGACATACGCTCCAGTCTCAACATCGCCACGCCCGACGTTGACACTGCGGGGGGATATTAGAGTATATTCGGCCGGTTCAGTTTTTGGTAGTTTTGAATTGTAATCTATTCACTTCTATACTTGGACTCCAAGACTTTGTACTTATATAAACAACCCATTGAGGCATATATCAATACACAATTACTATCAATCTTCAGTTGGAGATGTCCACGACGACGGTGCCGGACGTCGGCTGGACGGGTGGGTAGGAGGGCTCTGGCTCATCCTCCTCCTGCTCGACCTCATCCATGTAGGTGAGCATCTCGGGCTCCTCCGCGGCCTGCTGCACATCCATCTCCTGCCGCCGCCGCCGGCTGGCCTCCGCAGCCGACTCTGACCGAAGGGAATCGAGGATGGCCTGGTGCTCCGCCTGCAGATCCACGTCACCAGCATCCCCCACGTCCTCCTGCTCCAGCTAATCCTCCTTCTCCTCCTCCAACTCCTCCTCCAGATCCACTGCATCCGGAGGTAGTCCCGCGGCGGTCCGGGCTTAGCGCCTTGCCCGGATCTGCTCAAGGAGCTCGAGCCGGTGCTTCGGCGTCATAAATGGCTCGCTCCTCATCCGGCGGCGTGGGAGCAGGGCTACTAGGCGGACGGGTGGAATGGAAAGTGGCAGCGGCGGCGGACAGACAGAGAAAAATGTGGATGGTAGGGTTTCGACGCCACCGGTCCGATGAAGGAGACGAGCTTCGGACCGCCGAGTTTTCGGACGTTTCCGCTTGGGACCCTTTCGTCAGCCCAACGTGACGGGCGTGCCGGAACGCCCCCGTACCTGCCCCATATTTGGCCTGGATATGAGGGGTGCCGTTAGCCCAGGCGTTTGAGACCCGTTTAAGTCGCCCGTATGGATAGAAAAATGACACGTCAGTGACATCAAAGAGGAAAGAACTATAAAACGATAAGACAAGCAACCGAGAAAATTAGTACACCAATGCTATGAAAATGAGCTAATATGCTCTGCAGTGCTCTGCAGTACGCAAACTTCTGTCCCATGTTGTGCTCCGTGGAGCGTGACGAGCAATTAAGAGGGGCCGAAATTTAAAATAAAAGCAAAATGTGGATGATTAGGAGCAGTGCGAGATGGTCGTTCAAACATAAGTATGATAGTATGGACTATGAAGGTGTTTTGTTTTTTCATACTAGAAGTATAGCTACTAGCTCATGCATGCAAGCATGGCGAGCAAGTTATCATTTGTAACTCAAGAAAACAAAGAACTATCAAGAGCGCGCAAAGAGACAGAAGGGTGTCGATGTTGGTCGCTAGGGATTGGGACTATCAGGTGGCAACACATGAACCCTTAATAAATTACACATACACGTACTACATACTCCCTCCGTCTGAAAAAACTTGTCTCAAACTTGTTCCTCAAATGAATAAATCTAGCACTAGCTTTGTGTAGATACATCTATTTAAGAGACAAGTTTTTTCGGATAAAGGGAGTATGGATTAAGTGTAATAGTGTAAGAACAAAGATCATTTAATTCACTTTTTAGAACAATTATGCCCTTAGACAGAAGTCAGTTTTGGTCTTGGGCCTAAACCTGACCCAATTTGTTCCGGTCATATGATGGACCATGTACTATGCATTTCATCACATAGTAGAGTGCACCGTAAAATCTTTTTTTTTCCTATCCAAGACAGTTGTGCAAAAATGCAAACTTGCCACATCCTGCAAGAAACAAACAAGCAAATGGGAAAATGGAAACGAGGCACTCCGGCATTCCGCGCCAGGCGGCAGCAACAGAAGGGGGCAAGTGCAAGTGAGCCGAATACAACTCTGCGATTGTCATGGTCTGCTCCGTTTAAAGGAAGTGTTGTGGCCTGCTGGAACTAGAGATCCACATTCTATTCGAGGCACAAGTTGTGCGTACTACGTACATCTCAGATTCCTTCCAATATCAACACAAGGCTGTGCAGGTCAAAAGGCTAGGCGGTGCAGTTGCAGTAAATATATTTCTTCCACTTCAGAAGGAGGAACTATCAGCGATGCTGATTTTCCTTTTCTGGAGTCAACGAGGAATCTTGGTTAACTAAGCGCTAAACGCATCCAGATCACGGTCCGTTTGATCGACGGGGAGCGCGGTAATTACTGCACCACGCAATGCGGGAGACATGATCGATGGACGGTGGAAACCGAGAACTGTGGGCAGGGCGCTGGGAACCATACGGGGATCCTCACGAAAGTCCATGGCGTCCGCGATTAACAAACCATTTAACGGGGCGTCGTCTCTGGACTAAATACTGTCGGTGCGGTGGAGTAGTGTCGCTACTAGTACTGGTTTGTTTTCTTTTCCATGGACGGTGAAACGGAAGCCTTAGTTGGATTGCTCTCTTCTGCAAAGCAAACTGATGCACTGCACTGGAGTGCAACAAAGATCATCGCTGCCTTTCTCTTGTTGGTCACATTCCGGATGTGATCATCTCGCGGGATGAAATAGCAGGGTGAGTTCATGCCTTCCGTTCCAGACTTTTCTGTACCCTTCTTTCCCAAGCTATGATGGGCGATTGCCGAGCAATCATCATGTGTACGCACGCACCTTTACTAGTTATCTTTCCCAAGCTATGACGGATCAAATTGATGAGCAAAAGGGATCCGAGCAATCATCAATTTGATCAGCACTCCTGCTCTAACTGTTTCTCTCAGCTCCTCATCGATCAGCACAGCTGCAAACAGAATAACTGGACACCTTTTACAGAGCCCACATCCCAATCACTTGTACATGTTGCAGTTAGCGAGCCGTTGAGGAATGAAAGGCGGGTAACCTTCCTTGTCCGTTTCCACCAGCCGGGATCTCACGGTTAGACCACGCTCCCACTCCGACTGCGCCACCTTTCCTGGTCGTCAAGTGAACCTTTTTCACGATCTATACCGGCGAGCAGTACAAAGCGCAGCTAAAAACTAGACCCGTACGCTTTTCCTTGTACAGGTAGAGTAGTTGGGTGTCA